ATAAAAATATATATAAGAAAAAAAAAAAAAAATAAAAAAAAAGGGGGGGGGGGGGAAATAATAATATTTTGCATTGAGACTACTGCCTCAGTGCATAAATAGACTGTTCAGTGAGAGTTGGAGAGTGCAAAGAAAATGACAGCAACTTTGCTGAACTCAAATTATTATCTGCTCTTTCCATCTTACCGCATAACATGTCATAGAAAATACACTTCCATTTTAAATACCGTCTGACATTTCTCTAACAAAATATTTAACACCTTACTAATTCAGAAAAAAAAAAAAAATCACATTTTGTGTCATTCACACTCAGCACCAGCTTCTACATTGAAGAGTGGTGTAGTGCTAAGTGGTAGCGCTTATGCATGGTATATTGACTCATTTGAAAAAGATTCAATTTTTTTCAGTGTCCAATTGACATTCAGGCAGAAAATTGGTCCATTCTAGTCACCAGCCATGGATTTCTGGTTTATTCATGAGCCAAATAATATTCAAGGTTGAACAATTTGTGAAGTGGCTTGAATGATTTCAAGTCAAAAAGCGATTGAGGTGAAATTGTTGACTGTATGTGCCTCGACAGACTTCCACCGTTCTCAGAGGAGAAATTAAGTTCTCTTTAAAAGCTGCTGACATGTTGTTATAAAGGAATCATGAGTTGGTAAACTCTCTCTCTCTGTCCATTCGTCCGTCTCTCTTTATGAATGCCAGCCATTGCACAGACATGAGAAATTCTGTTATTGAGTCTATAAAAAACAGAATCTATTAAAAACTGTTTCTATATTACCAGAAAATAGCAAAGCTGAAAGCCAGCGACTGTGGAGAACAAAAACCAATTTAAATATTGATTCAAGGTATCTACCTTGGTTTATCTTGTTTCCCACCAGATATACCTTGTCACAAATTTTACAGGCAGCGGGACCCGTGTAGCAAAGAGCACTGTCATCTAATCAGTTGCTTGGCATTTCAACATGCCTGCATCTTTCAGCTACAAAAACTCTGAAACCCAAACACAAAGGAAGTGCCTTGTAAGGCAGCTCCACTCTTCTCTGCTATTGTGTGAATGAGTGACAGAAAACCCTTTCTGCAGTGTGTTGCGGAACCTAACGAAGGTTAAAAGGGGTTGGCTAAGTGCAGACCATTTACCTCCAATTCAGCAAAGACATGCTACTTGGTCTTTTTTTCTGGAGTTTTTCTTATAAAATAAATGGAAGGGGAAGCCTCACAGGTGTGGAATGGTAATGATACACTGCAACATTGAGAGGGTGCATTTGTTGCTATGCTGACGTGTCAGAGTAGAGCTGGACAACACATCGAATCCAGTCCAGTTCCAAATGACTGCTTGGATGCATTCTTTGGTAAACTGTTACATTTTAGGAGTCGATGCGTCAAAATTCTGGTTGCCAACAATATGTAGGTCTGCTTGGATGGACCATCACAGTTTTTAGTACATACATCTCGATAAACAGCACATTGCATTTATGGAATAGAGAGAAAATAGTATTTAATCCTAAAATTTAACAATCATATCACAGTGTCATGTTTCCCACTGGATTTCAATCTAGAAATCAATTTTAATACAATCAGGCCAATAATTAAAAACTACTGGAACTGTGATAAAAAATAAATAAATAAAAGTCGGTGGACAGAAGATAAGTTTATCTTACCAACACACAGAGTGGGAAGGGCAAATTAAAGAAAAATCTCCAAACCACAGCAATATTTTTCTGAGAGATTATGCTACTGCAACAAACAAGGAAAATATTTCAAGGCTGTTCACGCAGTTTTACTCAGGGTGCTAACAGAAGCAATGAGCTCTGAGTCAAATATTTTTATTCTGTAGATAACCTCCTGAATCCTCCTGAATACTGCAACAACAGTATATAAATAAATCATAATTAATGCTTCCTGCTCAATATTCTCTAATCAGCAGGAGTCTCTGTGATGTACGACAATGGAGAAATCAGAGGCAGCAAAGCACATTCTGCCAAATGAAGCTTCTCTGCACGGCTTAAAACGGACAGATTTCAGTAAATAAAAGCATAAATATGTATGATATGCACAAATCCAGTTAATTAAAGTTAATGTGTCTTTTTTTACGAAAAGCTAAGATCTGTGGGATTTTGTCATAAATACTGTCCATTTGTAGTCAGGCACATCCAGACCGTTTTACCAACATAACATTTTTACTGCAGAGTTTTGGCTGTCCTTTTATTGAGGAACAAAACACTTGCCCTCACTCAAACACACACACACACACGCACGCACGCAGTCTTGGAAGTTGCCCAGTGCTACCTTCTGCCGCATGACCACCGTGCTGCACCACTGGAGCAGGTGCAGATTCAGTCGGTGTTCAAGGGCATGTCAACAGCTGTGGCGTTTGGATAAACGGCTCTTTCTTTGTTTATCTGTTCAGATGTCTGTCACCATCCAGGGGATTCAAACTGGTCGGATCAATCTCACAGCTGGTCTGATTTTCAGGTTTATTAAAGTAAAGAGGTCAGGCAATCTGATGTCAGTGACAAAATAATCAGAGCATGTTGGTGCAACTTAGTAGGTCAGTAGGACAGACAAAACTGGTGCTTTGGGGATGACTAATGTAAAGATGTACGGAGAAATTAGCTATTATTTAGCTTGAGAGACTCTGACAGGTAGCTGCCAGGCCAGAAACCACAAAATCTAATCTTCTCCTAATCAGTGAACAACTAAAACCACGTCAAAGTAGCAACAGCACTCTTTCTTGTTCAATTTGTGACTCGAGGTAGAGGACTAAAAGTTAGAAAAAAAGGATCTAGTAAGCCATTTAAATGGTTCATTCATGGTGCAAGGAAGTGAGAGAAAGCAAGACTTTTAGTGGAAAAGACGCCAGGAAGGTTCAGAGGAATACCACAAAGTTGTACTTTTTTTTTCTCCTGGTAAGAAAGCAGATATGGAAATCTGAGAGTGAAGGAAGGAATCAATCATTTCAAGGGAATATTTACATGTAATTATGCATTATTAAAGTTAACTTTGCCAAATTACAATAGAAGATGAAAAAGAGAGTCTGAAATGTCAACTTCCTTATTATTTTGCCTTTTTGACATAGACATTTAAACTGAGTTACATTTCATGTATTAATTTTCGAGCATAATTTGTAAAATTATCCTTATCACTTGCTCAGAATTCTGCACAAAAATCCTGATTAATGCAACCATACTCGCAACACAAATGCCAGCCAACAGTCAATTCAGTATCACATTGTCTGTGCCACACAGTGGAAAAACATCATTTAAAATAATACTGTATCTGAAACAATTAGTCCACTAATCACCATCTGTCCGTTTTTCAATACAGGATTAATCCTCCAGGGTTGCAGTGGGTGGTGGTGCTTCAGAATCAAGCAATGAACAAGAGACAAAGGTACACAGAAGACAGACAGAAGAAAATCCAACCTTGCTTGGTTTAAAAACAAAAAACAAAAAAAAAAAAACAAGAAAACTCCATGCATAGAGTTTCTTTCTGCATTTCCCAAGAGCTTCCTGCAGGAGCCATCACTTGAGGAAAACACACACACTCCAGCCCGGTCCTCGGACAATATAAAAGTCGGCTTGTAGCTCCGACAGTTAAATTTATGATTCCACTAAAAATGTGTTTGTAAACATCACATTTATAATAGCTATTAAGTAAACTGTGGCGGTAGATATAATTAAAATATTATAGCTATAGAACTTTCTGAATTATACTGAATCATTACTGAAGGAAGACTACAAAATTTTCTGCAACATAATGAAACATGCTGCCAAACAGCGAGAGAGAGCAAGACTTCCAGCAGAGTATAGTGTTTGTGTTTCACTTTAGACTTACACATGCTGTTGATTTGACTGACTGAACGAGCATTTTTTTCTCATAAATTAAAACTACAAGTTCTATGAACCACATTACTATGGCATGAGGGGTGACGGTTAATTATGAACAACTTGAGCCCAACAAAGCGGTAGAGTGAAGGATAATAAGGACAGGAATTACAAAGTAATAGCTGCTCAGCCACAGTTCTATGTGATGCTGATCTGTGCGACAACAGACCTCAGACCCTGGACCAGGCTTTAGTTTCTGAGGTTCAACACAAACCAAAAGCTGCGCGTAAGCAAGCACAGATATGACGCACACCTGTGACGGGTCATCTAATCAATTTAAAGACCAGGAGAGGGTTTCCTAACGTGGAGCCGCTGGGGGACGTCGCTTACTGGGACCCCGTACTGTCACAATAAGGCTAACATATACGCCACATCCGCAGACAGCGCGCAAGAGGCTCGACAGAGGAGCCGAGTGTGCTTCCAGCGACAGCTACTGAGAGAGAAGAGGGAACTTGGGCGTAAAATGTAGCACAGTCCAGCTCAGTGACACCTGCAATCAAGTCTAATCAATCCGTGTCAGCAGCGCACGGAGAAACAAATTCTGCCCTCACCTCTTTGGTGTTGACGATGCCTTTGACGTATTTTCCGAAGACCGAATCCACGCAGAGGACAGTGGACAGCACGGCCAGCCACAGGAGTCTCTCCCCGACCCTCACCTCCATCTTTCTCTCTCCCCCGCAGCCGCTCGTCTGCTCTCACAGCTCCCCGAAAGCCTGCCTCCGTCTCGGGAGCGCGCACGGAGCAAGCAGCGCAGAAAGAGAGGGAGAGGAGAGAGGCGCGTCCTCGCAGGTCACCCCCTCTCCCCCGCCTCCCTCCAGCTGTTGCAGATGGATGGATGGTTATGTGCCTCTGTGTGTGTGTGTGTGTGTTTGTGGCGGTGGAGGGAGTTAGGGTACCGAACGCGTGCGCGCGCGGTTCCGCTCGTGCTTCGGCCATGCGACACGTCCACGCAGTGAAAATGCCATCCTTGATTGCAATCATGTTTTCATCTCAGGTCACACGCTACTAATGAAGTAGTTCTTGGGCAGATGATGCCTGGCCTCCCGCTGCAGAAGTGATTAGATCACTGATCAGGACGCAGAGGAGGAAAATCTTCTTTTCCTACATTGTGTTTGAAGTAAAACATGATTCATATTCAACTGTAAAATAAAACTTATGTTGGTGGCACTGGAAAAAGGTCCGTCAGTAAGTGCAAATGCCAGTTGTTCGCAAAATTACATTAATGCCTGTTCTATATTTCAAGTACTATTTGAAGGGGGGGAAATAATCTATATATTTTACAGTTCTTATACATTTTTGGCAAAACTGACTTAGAAGTATTCAGTCCCGCTGAGCTGTCACGCATTGAATTTTATGCGAGACCAACTGAAAGTAGTTCAGAATTGTGAAGTGGATGAAAAATGTTACATAATTTTCAATTTTTGTCCACGAGTAGGAATAGTGAAGCCGGTCAGTTGATCGGATGATGAATAATCCAGAAACCCTGTTAGAGACTGCAGGATCCAAGACTGGGGCAGACATTCACCTTTTACCATATGTCCCCCCAGACACTTTCCATTTAGTTTGACTGAATGAGAGCTATTTGCAAGTAAGAATGGACCATAAATTGCAGTCTTTATTTATTCAAAGTTGGAAACTTACCCCAAAAGAACTGCAGCTATGATTGAAGAAACGGGGGTCTTTTGCACATGACAGATCTTTCATGCAGACAACCATTTTATTTTCAATTCATAGTTCTGTGGTTCTGTGGGCCGGTGAATGAAACCAACAAAATATGTGACACAAAAAAAAAAAAAAAAAAAAAAAA